GGTGACCAGGGCATGAGTGACTGTGCGGAGGCCCTCCTGATCCAGGAAGGGGCGTAACTGCTGCACAACACAAAGTTGTGCAAAGGCCCTCCTAGCCACGACTGCCACCTGCTCTTTGAGCAGGAGTCGTGAGTCCAGGAGAACCCCCAGGTTACGCACCGAGTCTGTCTGGGGTAGTGCAACCCCGTCAAGAACCAAAGATGACAAACTCCTAGATCCTGAGGCTCCCCGTATCCACAGCCACTCCGTCTTACCATGTTTCAGCTTAAGCCTGTTGTCCCCCATCCAGGCCCCCACAGCCTCCAGGCACCGCGAGAGGGCGGTCACAGCGTCACTTAAGGCACCTGGGATGGAGATGTATATTTGGGTATCATCCGCATACTGATGATACCTCACCCCATGGTGCCGGATGATCTCACCCAGCGGTTTCATGTAGATATTAAATAGGAGCGGTGAAAGTACTGACCCCTGTGGCACCCCACAAAGTAGGGGCTGGGGGCTGGACCTCTCGCTCCCTATCAACACCGATTGGGTTCGGTCTTGGAGAAAGGAGCTGAACCAGCGCAACATTGTGCCACCCAGCCCCAACTCCCTGCAGCTGACCAAAAAGGATACCAGGGTCGATGGTATCGAAAGCCGCCGAGAGGTCAAGAAGAGCAAGGATGGATGCACTACCCCCATTCCGCTCTCGCCAGAGATCATCTAAAAGTGTGACCAATGCTGTTTCTGTCCCATAACCGGGCCTGAATCCTGACTGATAGGGGTCCAGATATTCAACCAGTTCCCCATATTCCAAGAGATTCTTAAATAATTTTAATAAAATTAATTCTACATTCATTGTTTTACTTGGTTTTAAAGTGCAAGGACAAGAATAAGTCGTCGGCTGATTTAGTATATATTTTTATTCAGTTTATTATAGATTTTTTTTATCCCTGGTTGTCACTCACATCCAAGAAACAAGTCAATGGACAATGGAAGAAAACACCTTTCTTTTTTCTCTCCCCCCCCCTTTTTTTTTTGAGAGAGTTTTTGGCAAGCACTTACATTCTGCAGAAAGTCCTCCAAGGACTGCATCCAATCTCTGCATTAGCCAAGATAAGGTAATTGTCAAGTAGAAATCTGGTAGGTGTGAGAACTGACAAAGCTCTAGGCAGTTTTTCAAATTTTCCTTCACTTGCACTCTTCCCCTTCTTTTAGCATTCACCAGACTGATAAGATATAAGCAGTCTAGTAGGTGAAACACTGAAAAAAAATCCTTGAACTCCTGGTGACAGATATTTATGTACAAAGAGATGTTTTCACTTCAATAGAGAAAAGCTTCAGAAGATTCCACAATCAATCATTAGTGAGGAAATGAAGATAGAGACTTTGTCTCCAAACAAAAGGGATACATTTTTTCCTGATCAAGTGGGCCATAGAGACTATTGATAGCTATGGTGCAGGCTAGTAGATATTAACACATTATGTATATCCACTTTTGACTCCTCGCTATCATAAAAGAGCACATTCAGAAAAAGTGAAAGAAAAGATTATCTATTCCTTCCTGTTTAATAAGACACTTAAGCAAGCTTCCTGATGTGCCAAGAAGCCAATGTTTGATTCCAACAACAAGGTAAACCAAAAGCTAAAATGAAGTAATGGGATAAAGCAGGACAGCACCAAGTCTTTATAGAATGTGATGGCTGTTTACTTTTAATCTGTCTTCACCCTTATCTTTGAGGGGGTAGTGACAGCCACCAGCTGAATTCCTCACTTTGTTATCATAAAAATCTACTTTCAAGACTGGGAAAGCCTTTTTTTTTTTTCCTTAATGATGCACAGATACCCATATTCTCCTTTATGGAAGTTGACTGGAGCAGCAGCTAACTTCTATTTTAACATGGGGACAGAAAATACATCTTCAACCACAGCTGACATTGGTAGACTAACTTACGTGGTGCAGACACACATAGCTTCTGACTTTCAGCACTTTGCAGTGACCAGCCTGTGGGGCTGTAGGGACAGTGACATCAGTGTAAGTCACACAAGCAGGGCAAGGCATGGTCCCACATTATATTTGCTGGAACAGATGACCTAAACAGTGGGTTGTCTTTGGCTGTTCATTTAGTCATGGTACTTTCCCAAAGAATGGTCTGTAATTCACCAGGCAAGGGTGGTTAAGTGAAGCCACCAGCAACATCAGGCCAGTAACAAGGAAGTACTGGTACTAACTCAAGAGGATGGGCATGGGGGGAGGGAGGGGAATGATGTAGAGAGCCTTACCCTACTTCCTAGCACTTTGCTTAATGCCATGTTTGGCTCTTCCTCCCAGCACCTGAATAATAATTGTGGAGATTAGTGGAAACAGAATCAAGAAAGTAGCTGTTCTCTGAATTGAGACACTCATCTCACTGGGTTGCTGCCATTTTCTCCACTCCATCAGGAAATTATCCTGTTGGCACTTCTGAAGAGCAAACTGTGTGGCAATGAGATATGGCATTGGAAAGTCATTGCACACAAACAGCTCATTACAGGGAATGACTCCTTTTCAGTTCCAACAGTAACCACCGCATTTGTTGTTTATATGATATGAGCCTTAGTTACAAATAACAAGTGCACATTTCACTGTTATTGCTTGACACATTCTGATGTTAGGAGAGTCCAGCTTTTGGTGATTTGGCAAATTCTACTCTTCAACTACCCAGTTTTTCATCAACCAAAGGAGTACATTAAAACATCTCTTCATAAAGTTTTGCTCATTTGCACTGCTTAACATAAGCAGCCATTTATGTATCAATATTACATTTTGCTAGAATAGAGATAGCCTCCTTGATATCCTGGTTTGCTAATGAAATGTATTGCCCTCACTGCAGCAAGTAGGGAAGGGCAGATATTCTGAGGGTTCCAACTGACTGATGAGTAGCCAGTGTTATCTATTTCTCACCCTTCCTCAGAAATCTATCAGTGACTGATCAAGGTCACATGAATACATCTCTCTGAAAAGGGGAGGAATGAAAGTTGACATACCATTGTTCTGTATTGGCTTATCAGGAAAAATGGATTCATTTGTAAGACAAAAAGTATTACACAAAGCTGTTTAAATCATGAGGTGGAGATGAGACAGACCAGGGTTATGTGATCACAGTAGAACCTCAGAGTTGCCAGGACATGTTATTACCTATGTAAACTGCAAGTCATGCAACAGCCACAGAGTTGTGAGTACAGGCAGTCTCCAGATTAAGAATGAGTTCTGTTCCTAGGGTCTGTCCTTCAATCAAATTTGTATGTAAGCCAGAACAGTATTATTGTATAATTTTGTATAAGTAGTATTGTGTAATTAACTCAAACTATTGCGTATTTAACTCAAATCAATAGGTTCTATTCTTAGCTATGGGTTGTCCTTAAACTGGGAGTTCTTAAACCGGGGACTACCTGTATAAATGTGTTCATTATTGTACAATTTAAAGTATATAGATTATTTTAGTATGTTGTATGTGGGGATGTCCCTAAAAGGAGATCTAGAAATTGCAACTGGACCAAACTGCAATGGCCATTCTTCTGCCAGTATGTTCCAGCAGAAGCATGTGTTATTATTGAGACAGTGAGCCTGTATTCACTATACTAGCACTTATCAACCACATTCACAGACTTTGAATCCACTTCTTTACACAACAGAGATGTTTGCTGTGGCATGTAAGAAGAGACAGTTTCCCTCCACTGTTTCCCTCTACAGAAGAAAGAGGCTTTGTTCTTTTCAAAACTATAAATAGAACTCCAGGAGACAGGAATCAGGCAAGAAGTTGTGTTGCAGTATGCAGAAAAGGAGAAACCTAAGATCGTTCTGTTCAGCCCCAATTAAAATTTGGAATTTCAGTAAAAATGGAAAGGAAGTCCAGGTAAAATGAATCAGAAAGAAAATCTGATTCAGGGGTCTGCTGTATAGGTAGAAATAGATATGTCTTATTAGAAATTGGGCCAAATTTAATCTTTGTTTTCTGTGTGTTACAATCTTTTTTTTTTTTTTTTTTTAACATCTGCACAATTTAAGGGATTTTGCTATCAGTCAGGGAATCAGTGCTATTTATACCTTTAAAACAAGTCTTCTCTTCCTTGGTAACAAATCAGTTCCATCTTGTGGTCTGCTAAAATCATTATATTTACTTTTATATGTCCTACTGGATCCTTTTCTTGTTCCATTCATTTGCAGTTATTGGATCCCTAGATTTTAAGAGCTCTATAATGTGTCTTTTCCAACACTGATTACCTGCATTTTAATCTTAAAAGCTAAAAGTTTAACCATTTTTAAAATAAAGTTTAATTTTGTTTATTCTCAGTGAGATTGGTTTATGTCCTAATGGGGAAGGAGGGCTGATGCCTCTAGTCACATGTCACAGTGCTACATGGTACTATACCAATAATTTCAGAATTTCATTGTTTTATTTTATTTGTTATAAATGAAGCAGGTTGTGAGCAGAGAGGTTATGTGAGGAAATGTGGGGAAGCTGGGAAAGGAATGGAAAGGAGAATTGATACAAAGAAGAGGTGAGTCACTTTGCTATCTGGAAAGTAAACCTGGGAAGAAGTGTTTCAAATAACTCACAGAGACTCTGTGTTAGTGAACTCATAAATGAGGGTGGGAAATTCCTCTTACAGTTTCCAAAATTTTTTACTTGCCTTAGATTAGCATGAAAGATACCTTGCTGAAACTTGTAGTTCTTCCTCAGTCTTGCCCAGCTGCATGAGACATAACAGGTTAGGAGGAAGGAGTGGGCCAGGAGAAGCACCTTAGAAGATAGATAATGACTGCAAGAACCACCAAGCTGCTACCCCTAGAGGCAGGACATGGAGCCAGAATATGAATACCCAGAGATCTTCTGGAAGATGGAGTTTGAGATCTTTACCATTCTACTGTGCCACCATAAATTCTAGCTAAGCTACTTTGACTCCCAACAGATTTCCAGGTCAAATTCAAGGTGCTTGTTCTTACAGTAGAAATCCCTAAATATCTTGGGTCATGCCAGTAATCACTTCTGCTCCATGGACTGCCCTGAAAAGAGAGTCTACTAAGGGTAAGGCCTTTTTTCCATGATGCCAAATCTATATAATTTCCTCCTCCTATCTTTTAGGTCTGCCTTCCTTTTCTTGTTTTTGCTTGTTTTTAACTTTTTGATTATTTTTGATTGTTTAATGTTGTTTGTTTCATGATGTTTGTTATATTCTTTTTGGAGTCTGACTGTTATTATTGGATTGCATTGTGAGCTGCCATGGACCAGATTTGTGGAAGCATTGTACTATAGAATTCAGTTAAATAAATAGATTAATCATATCTCTGTGCAATAGTTTGAATGCCTCACCTAAGCTGACTAGCATTTATATAAATTATACATTTACACAAATTATTTCTTTAATAAAATAGAACAAAACAGCTAGAAGCCACTGGGTCTGGCCAAGTACATTAGGGGATAAATCTTCCCCAGGGAAGATTAAACATTTACAACATTCCTTAAAATAATCTCATTAGTTTGCAGAGCAAGACGTCTATGCTGAATTTGTGCAGGCAACCCCATCCATAGTAGAAGCAACTCATACAAACATTGTATTTCCCAGAATGTTTTTTTTCTGGGGTGCATACAGTTCATCTCACCCTTCTCCTACTAATTTCTATTACCCAACTAAGAAGCTAATGGGAATAAGAACTGTCAACCAAATGCTTCAGAATATTCCTTTTTATTCCAATGTTCTTTCAATCTTACGATAGCCATATCATAATCCAAGCCTATCCTGGACCTGACAAAGAAAAAGAGCAGTGGGATATCTTCACTTGCCTTACTCTGTAGCAATGGCAACCAAGTGGGTAGACCATTTTGGATTCTGATTATTTACTGACTTTTTCTAACTATATCCTGCCTTTATTGTTGGCATTCAAGGCAGCGTATATGGGGGAGATTCATTTTAGTTTCCTAATAATAAGCTGGGGAGGAAGATTGGGCTGAGAGAGTGAGAAAGCGGGGGGAGAGAGAGAGACAGAGAGAGATGGTTCAAAGTAGTTGGTTGGAAACTGGAGCCTAGATCTTTCTGATCATAGTCCCTTAACTTCTACACCACAGGTGACCACAAGGCAAATGAGAGGACTCTGAGTGAAAGATAGACTTAATTTATAGTTTTCCTAATACAATGCTCCTCTGGAGAACTAATACCTTGCTTCTAAACTCCATTTTCCCATGGAATTTATTCCATATAATATGATTTAATTAAATAGTGCTGAATCACTGGATAGAATATTGGATGAAGACCTACTGAGTCCTTATTCTCTATCATTGACACAGACTACCTCACAGGTTTAAAGAAGATAAATAAGATAATACTCTGACAACTCTGCCTAATAATAGGGACTTAAAACTAACAACATATAGCATGTCTGTAAACATAAGTTAGTCTAATTAAACAGGAATTTCATGTAAAAGCCAATCATTTCCTCCTCAGGTAAACGAGGAAGAAAATCCGCAAAGATATTTCCCCATGAGCTGGGCTTTTATACTGTAAATGACTCTAGCTAGCTAAAATACATGGCTCAGAAAGATGCTGTATAGGCAAATGAATCCATAAATCTGAATTATTCTGAGGCCCAACATCAGTTCCTCTACCTAACTCAGTACTGTTTGCTTTGATTGGCATAGCTCTAAGTCTGGAGTTTGAGTCTAGAGCATTTCCCAGTCCTACCTGTAAATGTCAGGATTGAACGTAGGATCTTTTGCATGCAAAAATGTGCTATACTTATGAGCAACAGTCTCTTTTGGCTACAGCATCCATCCACTGCCTGATTTGCAACCAAAGACCCAATTGTACATATGATTGGAGAAGAAGCCTCTCATTGTCATATCTAGCTTGGCCTTTAGCAATAAAATTACTGTTTGGCTAGGGCAATCTCTGGCTTTTCAGATGTTGATGAACTACATTTCGTAGGCAGTAGCCTTGGACAACATGGTTAGTTCCCCACATTGGACCAGAGCTCTTAGCAGAAAAAAAAAAAGGGGGGGGGAGTTTTGCTCTATCAGCGCAGATTCTGGACTCTAGACAAACATTTAAGCCTTGACTATCTGATTTCATACTTCCTTTGCTTCCCAATGTTTATATGAGTCATAATCTTTCTTTTGCTGTTGAAACAAAATAATTCGGATTTGGAGTTTAAAAACATCAAAAGAACAGGCTAGGCAGAAACCAAACATTCAACAGAGCCAAAGTAAAGGCTTAAAATTCACATGTGGTAGTCAATATTAGTAATCTATTTCTATTTGAAGAAAAACATCTACCCCAAATTTTAGCTGGTGAATGTAGTGGACTATCCTGTTGTACTTCCCATTTCATGCCACCATGATAACAGTCCACAGAGGGCCACATGAACTTCACAGCAGCTGCAGATGTTCAGCTCTTTCTCCTTTCAAATGCTGAAAAATGAAGAGGCAATGCTAAAAGACCATCTCTCCCTATAGAATGAGAAGATTAAGAAGCCAAGCAGGAAAATGTTTGTGTTGGGCCAGTGCCATTGTACCACTCACCAATCCAAATTATTTATGGGGTGAATTAAAAAAGGAGCCTCAGCTGCAACAGCCTTTTTCTTCAGGGAAGGCTTTCTGCACAAATGGGGTGTGTCCTGTATAGAAAGCATCTGGAATCAACCAGCTGGCTAATTTCTGTGATACTGCAATACACCAGGGGGAACCTCCTCTTGATTAATACTTGCCCCTTTATAGCTAATTTTATGTCTCCAGCTGCCTAAATCCAGATTTCAAAAACAATAGCATAACATGAAGAGATTATGCATTTATGGGGTGCATATACAGTTCTTGGTCAGAGGGCACAAAAACAGGATGAAAAGCTGTAAGTTGTCTCTTCCCCATTCAGTTTCCTATTATAAAGTGAGAATCAGCACCTCCCCGCCTTCTAGCTGTTTCCCCTGAGGACACAACTTTCCAATGGAATTTCCTGCTCTTTTGAGCTGCCAATATAAAATGCATAACTGGGAGTGCAGGAATCCTGAAAAAAGACCATTCCCCATTTAAAACACCTCGCATAGCTCAGGAATGGCAGAGCAACTTACAGCTTTCATCAGCTGTGCACCACTTCCATTTGAACCTCTGAAGGTTGAAGTTTATACTTGGGTATTTCAGGCTTGGGCAGTGTTGGCCAAGGCTATCAACCCCCTAAAAGAAAGCTGACTAACATAGCCTAAAAAGCACATCTCTCTGCAGAATATATAAGTCTCCTGTACTTGTCCA